GAGTCGGTACCAACTCAATGGCACCTAACAACAACAACCACCTCTCCCATGGAGTCCTGGTGTGGTGCTGTGGGCTAATGCACCAGACTGCAAGTCGTTTGGACTGCAACATTGGTGGTTCAAGCTCACCAGCTGCTCCTTGGAAACCCTATACAGGGTCGCTATGGGTCAGAATCAACTTGATGACACTTAACAACAGCACCCTCTCCCACAATACTGCTGTTTGATGATTAAGCCAGGGATCATCCCCAAAGAGGGGCCGGGGGCCTGATCATTGTCACCTGAGATGAAAACAACAGACCTGTCTGTATATTATAAACTTTGTCGGTTAAGTGTATATCACACTGTCCTACATAGAGTGTGTACTCCTCTTAGTGGGCATTGGTGGCTCTGTGATAGAATGCCGAAACTCTGGGCTCGATTCCCATCCAGTGCTCCTCATGCACAGCCACCACCTGGCTGTCAGGGGAAGCTTATATGCTGTTATAATGCTGAACAAATTTTGGCAAAGCTTCCAAGCTGACAGACTAGGGAGAAAGGCCTGGTGATCTGCTTTGAAAATCAGCCAGTGAAAACCCTATGGATTACAGCAATCCGCTCCATAACCAATCATGAGGATGGCATGTGACACGGCAGCAGTTTTTCTGTTGTATGTGGAGTTGCCATGAGTTGGAGATCAACTCAACAGTAGCTCTAATGACCATCACCTCTGCACATAGCACATACCCCTAGTAAAGTGTGTATTTGTGTGTGTATATGTTTTTGGGGTATATGCTAACAACTAACTGTCATCAAGTTGACTCCGGCTCATGGTGACCCTGGGTTCTTCATGACCTTTTGGAAGCAGATCACCAGGCCTTTCTGTGGAGACACCGCTGGGTGGGTTTCAACCTTTCACTTGTGTTACCTAGAGATTCCTCTTTAATGATGCAGGGAAGAAGTGTACAATTTGGGAGATTATGGGATGAAAATTCTAATTGAGACAGTGAATATCCTAAATCAGTTTCTGATTGTCTGAAAAAACCTCAAACTTGAGCAGCACAACCCCATTTTAAGCAGACCCAAGCTGTTGGAAGTCCAGTATGTAAGACTCAAGGACTATGTTGCTGTTGTCAAGTCTCACTCTAGTGACCCTGTAGGATACAGTAGGGTTTTTGAGCCTGTAGATCTTTATAGAAGCCGACTTCCTCATCTTTCTCCCTTAAAGTGGCTGGTGGGTTTGAACTACTGACCTTCAGCAGCCCAGTGCTGAGCCCACGGTGTCATAACCAGGTACTGAAACTCATTAATTTTGCTCATGGGAAAGGTCCTCGCAGCATATTATACATAATGCTGGTAAGTTTGGTAGTGGTTTCCAGGTCACCAAGAAATAGGAGGAGCTGTTAAGTACATAACAGCTGAAGAAAACAAGGTAAAAGATATTTTTATAAACTCTGCACTACAGACTGGCCATTTGATGTTGGCAGTCCTGGTATGGTGCTGTAGGATAAGCACTGGACTGGTAACCACAGGGTTGGCAGTTCAAAATCCAACAGCTGCTTCATGGGAGAGAGATGAGGCTGTCTGCTCTTGTAGCAATTTAAGGTCTTAGAAAAGCTATATAGGATTGTTGTTGTTAAGTACTGTGGAATCGGTTCCGACGCATAGTGACCCTGCACAGGGTTTCTGAGGCTGTAAATCTTTATAGGAGCAGAACGCCTCATCTTTCTCCTAAAGAACCGCTGGTAGTTTCAAACTGCTGACCTTGAGGTTGGCAGCCTGACTCATAACCACTACGCTGTATAGGATTTGTTGTTGTTGTTATGTGCCATCGAGTCGTTTCCGACCCATAGCGACCTTGTATAGGGTTTCCCAGGGTGTAAATCTTTACGGGAGTAGAAAGCCTCATCTTTCTCCTGCGGAGCAGCTGGTAGTTTCGAACCGCTGACCTTAAGGTTCGCAGACCGATTCGTAACCACTACGCTACCAGAGCTCCTGAGTCAAAATTGACTCCTTGACAATGGGTTTGGTTTTATGTTGTTTAAGAAAGCCCTGGTGGTACAGTGATTAAAGTGCTTGACTGCTAACTGAAAGGTTGGTGGTTCTAATTTACCAAGTGCTTTATGGGAGAACAATAAGGCTGTTTGGTTCCTTAAAGATTATCATCTCAAAGATTATCATTATCATCCCTGTGGGTTGCTGTGTGGTTGGGATCAACTTGGCAGCAGTAGGTTGGGTTATTTTATTGGTTTTAAAACTACAAGAAGGTATATTAAGAGCAATTTTCGCATCCAAAATGGTGGGGACAAAAAGGTTTCAGTGCTTAAAGGGGCGATCAATAATTAGTTCCCTAAAAAGCAGGTTTTCTTGAGCACCAAGTTAGGAAAAATTTCTAGATTGCTGGTTTTAATTTTAGCCTTACTGGATAGTCTTGTATTTTTGTTGGCTCTTTTATTACTTTTCAAGATACTTAAAGGCAATGATGCCTAATGTATTCCATTGATTCTAATTCAATATCATAATGAAGTATATTTGCAAAGAAAAATTATGTAATCTGCTAGTTTACGTTTTCTTTTTACACTTTTAAGATGAGCTCTTATCATTCAGGAGTTCTGGTATGGGGTGGAACTGTGGGTTAATGCGCTGGACTGCAAAGCTGGTTTGAACCACAAGGTCAGCAGTTCAAGCTCACCAGCCACTCCTAGGAAACCCTGTACAGGTTCAATGTGGGCCACAACTGACTCTATAGCACTAACAAAAACAACTTGTCATTCAGAAAGATAGCAGTGCTTATAGCAGCTCTCGTCTTGGAATCTGTTTCTTGTTAACATGTGTGTGAAGAGGCTGGGATAAATATCTGACACTGAAAATAGCCCCTGTTTTTATCTTGGGATATGGATGCCTGGTATGAAGTGTTAGCTTTCATTGTTCCCAGTCTTGGGATCCTCTTATTCCATGTGTCTTCATGTTGTCCCAGACTTGAAGTCCTTGTGTCTCATTCTTTTCATCTCCACTACATCCTTTCTGGTTTTCTTTTTGAAATTTTATTTTGTTGTTGCTAAGGGAGTCCTATTGTGGTGTTGTAGGCTAATGTATCAGACTGCAAAGTCGTTTGAACTGCAAGGTCTGTGGTTCAGGCTCCCAGCTGCTCCTTGGAAACCCTATACAGAGTTGCTGTGGGGTCAGAATCAACTCAACAGCTCTTAACAACAACAGGGGTATACACAGCAAAACACACACCAATTTAATTTGTGATTCATTAGCATGGATTGCATTCTTTGAGTTGTGCAACCATTTCCACCCCTTTTTCTGAGCTGTACCTTCCCATTCACATAAACTCACTGTCCCCTGAGGTTCCTGTCTGTTCTTTCTAGTTGCTATTGTCACTTGATCCAATATAGGTAGTTTTAAAAAGAGCATATTGCTCAAGGCAAGACTTTTTATTTTAAAAACTTTTTATTGTGAATATTTAGTGAAGGTTTATAGAGCAGATTATCAGTTTTACATTCTACAAATCATAGACTTTGATTCATTACAATGATTGCAGTCCCCTCCATGTACCATCCATTTCATAATATTTACCTCTATTAGTTTTAACTCTTGCATTCAGAGCACATATTCATTACTAGTGAAGCTAAACTATTGATTGTTTGATTTTTGAGAAGACTTCAGGGAATATTTTGATTTAAGGTTTAAAGAAGGTCTCAGGGCAATAGTTTCAGAGGCTCATCTGTTCTCCGTGGCTCCAGAAAGTCCAGAGCCCATGAGAATTTGAAATTATGTTTTGCATTTTTGATCCAGATTCTTTTAGAGAGCATTTTTTATCAGAATGTTCAAGAGTAGTAGCTGGGCACCATCCAGTTCTGGTCTCTTGGCAAAAGAGGCAGGTGTTCCTGGAGGCCATGAGCCACACACTGCATTTCCTCCTCCTAGCCCTGACTCTCCTTCTTCTCTTGCTCCAGGCAAATAGAGAATGGTTTTCTTTTTCTGTTTCTGTGCTTTCTTTGGGTGTAATGTCTTTACCATAAAGAGACACTTCTGTCAGTGTTACAGCACTCCTGGGACGGGGGTTGTTGGCAGAGAGTGCTCTTGCCGGACCCCAAACCTATTCGCAAAAGCAGGGGTGTTGAATGATGAATGTGGGCTCTGAACTACAAGGCTCTCAGAGGGGTCCTGTGCATTTCCCCCTTTGCCAACTCTGTGGTCTTCAGATTCCAGGTCTCAGCACAGTGCAGTAACCTAGCTGTTGTTCAAGGCTTAACTGAATGAAGTACAGAGAGACAGCGCACACCCCTCCCCACTGGTTGTCAGGGTCTCTTGTCTGGAATTGTAGCCCATCTGCTCACCGCACCCTCCCTCCAGGCCTTCAGGTAGAGGAGAAACTTGTAAGAGCTGGACCTGCAGAGATAGTATCACCACTTGTCCATGGCTCACTTCTAGTGGACATGATTGGCATTTGCCTTCATTGACAATTTCCCAGGTTTCACTGTTTATCAATCCCTATTTGTCTTAAGAGAATTGATCATTTAAAGCTGAGGACTTTCATTTACATCTTGGACTTGTCATTTGTTTTTAGAGGGTTAAGTAAGAGTAGTTGTACCTTGGTGGCATAGCAGGGTAAACACTAGACTGTGAACCACAAAATTTGGAATTCAAACCCAGCAGCCACTCGCTTCTTGGGAGAAAGATGATGCTTTCTGCTCCCGTAAAGCTTTGTAGTCTCAGAAACACTATGGGGTCCTTCCATTTTAGAAGCATCGTGAGTTGCACCCGGCTGGACGGCCATGAGAGTTTTGTGTTTGTCTGTCTCTCTTCTCTACCCTTACTTTGTGACTGAGCTGTGGCATCTTCCTGGACTGCTTTCCTCTGGTCCACCCAGCTCCCGAGCACCTGGCTCAGTCCCAAAATTGTCTGTTAATGTTTGGATAGCAGAGGTCACGGTTTGGTAATGCGGGAGCAAGTTGTACAAGATCACTGTCTGCATGTCTCAGCTCTTATTTCTGAATTTGACTCTTTTGCAGGTCCCTAGCTGTTGGTAGTAAGTCCGGTTATAAATTTTTCTCCCTTTCTTCCGTGGATAAGCTGGAACAGATCTATGAATGCAGTAAGTGTTTGCTTTTTTTCCACTTTCTTTAATACACATACACCCACCCACCCCAAATAAGTTATACTTGAATGAGGATGCATTCTTGATTCAGACACAATGGTTCAAGTCCAGAGACCCCATGACTCTTTCCATCTGGTCTCACCAAGAGGGTACTACTGTTAACAGTTGGATTACATCCTATCAATCAAAAGTACATCTAGGAATGGCTCTGTTATATGGGGTGTCTTTTCCAGTATATATCGTATCATATTTATTCTGTAAGTTCCCCTTTTTTCTGTCATTTAAACCATTTTAGGTTTCTGTCAGAAAAAACTTATAGAAAATTGAAATGTTTATTGCCCTGAAGGGATGGCTTCTTGTCTCGGGTTGTCTTTCTGTGTCATTGTGTAGCCTCCGTGTGGAGGGTGGAGATAGTAGAGTTGTGGACTCTGGCTTCTTGCCTGGCCACTTACAGTATACTTTTAGATAGATCATATTACCTTTGAGCCTCAGGAATAATACCTTGTGGTACATTGGGTTAAGCTTTGGACTGATAACCAAAAGCCTGGTGGTTCAAACCCACCAGCTGCTCCATAGGAGAAAGGTGTGGCAGTATGTTTCTGTAAAGATTAGTCTCCTGAGCCCTATGGGGCAGTTTTGTGTCTTACAGGGTCACTGTTAGTCCAGGTCAGCTCGGTAGCAGTGGATTTGGTGTAATTTATAAAAAGACTGGTCAGGATTCAAGAGAAATGAATGTATATGCCTAACACTGAGTATACATAGTTCAATCAGCATAGAACTGGCTGAATAAAAGAGTATGAGGAACAGTCCACTTGCTTTCCCTTGGTGAGAATATGGTGGGAAGCTTTGGACTCTATACATACATAGCTGTTTTGAAAAATTGAGAACTGTGGAGTCATGTACTTTTGTAAGAAATAATATAGATCCCTGGCATCCCTTCATCCCGTTTCCAAATTACATTCTCTGAACTGTAATGTAACGTTACAGCTAGGGTATTGGTTGATGATGTTACAGCCTACCACTCAGTCCAACTCCCCCAGCTTGACTTGTATGAAGGGACTTCAAAACATTCATGAAAAAATGCCATTATCTTTTAATGCCATATTTCCTCCAACTTTTTGAAACCTTCTCCTATTGCATGGTTTATTCACCGGCATCTTCCTCTACCATCCAGAACTCAGCAGCCCCAATCCTGTGAGAATCCCTCCTAATGCCCTTTATAACCCATTCCTGCCACCATTCAGCCGTAACCCCTAACAACCACCAGTCTGGCCTCTATTTTTAAAACTTTCATTTCAAAACCTCGTAGAAATAGAGCAGCCACACCTTTCCAAATAGGGGCTTCCCTAGAGATTCCAGCAAGCGGTTGTGTGTCACTAGCTTGTTCTCTCTCATTGCTGAGGTGTGTGTCCCAGTGTGCAAATGCACTACAGCCTGACAGATTTGTCACCTGCTGTTAGATACCTGGATGAGTCCAGGAACATCCATGAACATGTTTGCATTGCTCTGGGTTGATACCCAAAAGGGTGCGTCCTAGGGTGGGTGGTAGTTTCATGGTTAGTTCTGTAAGAACCTGCTGCACTGTTGTCTAGAGTGGCTGTACCATTTTATATTCCCATTAACAGTACATGGAAAAGATGCCCACATCCCTGTCAGCATTTGCTTTTTTTTTTTTATGTTTTATTGTGAATTATATGAGAGTTTACATGGGAGAACATTAGTTTTACATTCATTATTTCTGTATCGTTTCATTGCCATGGTTTCAATTCCCTCCGTGCATCATCAACCAACCAAAGGGTATACCCTGCAAGCCTGCCCCCTACACTACCCCCACCCCCCCAAGTCTTCAGCACACAGTCGCTCTCCCTCCCTGGATCTAAAGTCCCCAGCTGCTTCATCACTCCACGTCATCGTCTCTGCCTTCATCTCAGGCATCACTGCTTCTCTGGATGGGGTCCCGCTCTTGGCTCTTCTCCGTTGATGTTCCTAGGGACCTCCGCTCCTAGACTGGAAAGTTAATCACTCCCTTCCTTGCTATAAAACATCTACCTTTACAACCCTCACAATCAGTCCTGATAAGAATTATTCACTATTGTATCACAAGAGACCCATCTGCATTTCATTTCATCAGCTCTGCCTAGACAGATTGGCTACTACTCACTGGAGATTCTGCCTTCCTCCAGGCCCCTTGTCTCTAGGTTCCCTCTTGAAAGCTTGTAAGCCAGTCACTTCTTGCCTTTGTAGCCCCTTTCCTCCCCTACCATTTTGGGTAGCCAATGTCAAAGTTGCCCATCCCTGTCTACTCTGTGTGTGGAGGGGGTGGGAATGATTCTTGCTGTGAAGATTTGTTCCCTCTTTTGAGCTACTGCATCCATAGGTGTAGGTCCAGCATTTGCTTTTGTCTCTCGTTTTTATTTTAGCCATTTGGAGAATTAATATGACTTTTCTAGCCATAGTCTTTGTAACTCCCACCAAATAACTGGGTGAGACTATCCAAATGAGGTGCTTCTGGCCTATCGAGGGTGATGGACAGCTTGATGATGTAATGTGCATAAGTGGCATGGCACCCTTGTGGGGGTTGGCAGTGTAAATAAGGTATAGGAAACCCTTACAAGGGGTTGCTCAGTTTAACATCCTGATAAGCTTAAAGTGAACCATCCCACAAACAGAAAGGGTTCCCTCAGGATCCCCAAGGAAGAAGAGCCAGGAGTGGAACATGCCCTTTAGACCTAGGTTCCCTGGATGTCATAGATTGAATTGTGTCCCCGCAAAATGTGTGTCAACTTGGCTGGGTCATGATGCTCAGTAGTTATGTAGTAGTGTAATGTGGCAGTTGTGTGGTGGTCCTCCTCCATGATGTGACCTGATTTGGTAAACCAATAAGAATATCGGGGATTAGCTGCCATACCTGTGGTCCCGTCACAACCCTGGCCTGATGTGGGAAGTTTTGCCTTACAAAGATAAAAGGAGAGAGTGATGAATGAAGAAAGAAGGACCTGCTGCCACCAACTTGGAGCTGGAAGTGAAGTGTATCCTTTGGACCTAGGGTCCCTGCACTGTGAAGCTCTTAGTTCCAGGGAACGGTTGATGGAAGACACATGGAGATCAACAAGGAATGCTGGGCATACAGATGTTGAAAGGAGACAAGGACCCTTCCCCAGAGCCAACAAAGAAAGCCTTTCCCTAGAGCTGATGCTCTGAATTCAGACTTCTACATTTCTGTGGTGGTAAGAGGAGCACTAGAGAACCTAAGACATTGCATGGAGAACCTTCTAGAGTGGGAGACTAGTCATGAGAGAGGTTGGTTCAAGATAGCAAGAACCAGGTAACGGTCAGGAGACAGCGCAGAGGGCATCTGGTCCACTGAACAAGAAAGCTTGCTGGTGGAGTGGTGCTTCTGGGCAATTATTGGTGGAGCTAAAGAACTTGTAGCACTTGCCCAAGCAAAGGTCAAGGGTCATTAGGGGTCTGAGAGGACAGCCAGTGAGAGGCCTGCCTGCAGGCACAGCTAAAAGCTTTTACTGACCATGAAGTGTCAGCGTGGGGAGTGTGGTCTGAGTGCCCACTGCAGTCAGCTCTTGAACCTAGCAGAGAAGTAGAGCATGCTGTAGGAGGACAACTGGTGCCAGAATTGGTAAAAAGGTTGAAGAGAGGAGGAATGTCTGATCTTGGCCTCACAGGACTCTGCCTTGGGCTATGGGTGCAGATAATGGGCAAGGGCCCCCCCCCCCCCCACGTGAAGTTACAGGAGGTCAGCCGCCTCCACTACCCAAGCTGTACCACACCATGCCAGTTTTACCATTGTGATATCTCATTGTGATTTTAACATACATTTTCTTCATAGCAATCTGGTTGAACATCTTTTCATGTTCTTGTTTGTTATCTGTATGTCTTCTCCAGTGAAAGGTCTTTTGCCCACTTTCTAATTGCACTGGCTGGTTTGTTTTGTTTTTATTATGTTCTGGTGTGGTGCACTGGACACCTAACCACAACAAGGGTCAGTGGGTTCAAACCCACCAGCTGCTCCTTGGAAACCTCATACAGGGTCATTATGAGTCAGAATCGATTCATCAACACTTAACACAAAACAACAATGTGTATGTCCCAGGAATTATATTAATCTTCTGCTGTAGTTTATAAATGTTGCCCACCTTCCATATATACATTTGGAGCAGACTTCCTGAGTCCTGCCCATGTACCCACAGCCCTAGCCAGAGTTTTAGGACCTTATATTAGAGAACAGGAGCTTGAGATTCCCAAGACTTGTACTTGTAAGCAACTATATGGGAATTTCGGTTAAGGGACTATTTGCTCTTTTAATTTTACATGAGCAGGGGTTTCCTTCTTATGAAAATGCCAGGAATTCCTCCTGAGCAGTTCTGTATCACCTCTGTGCTCCCACTACAGATTACTGTTCCATTCCAGACTTTTACTTTACCATGGCACTGTGGGATCAGCACTGGACTGTGAACCACAAGGTTGGCAGTTCAAATCTACCAGCTGCTCCTCAGAAATCCTACACAGGGTTGCTATGAGTTGGAACCGACTTGACGATACTTAATAACAACAGCAACAATAGCATCTCAGTCCTGGGTGTGATGCTGTAGGATAAGCACTGGACTGCTAACCATAAGGTCGGCAGTTCAAATCCACCAGCTGCTCCTTGAATACTCTATACAGGGTGGCTGTGAGTCAAAATCAACTCAACAACACTTAACAAGTAGCTTCTCAAGAAGAGGCAATTTGGCTGGTTAATGTGTACAAACAGCTTATCTTCGTTCTTGTTTCCATTCATCCAGCAAATGTTTTTGTCAAGGACTTGCCACATGCCAGGAGAGATAGCAGTGACAGGGTCTGCTTTGGTGACATTGTGTAAATTGAAGAGACATGAGAGATGAGTGACTAGTTTGTGTGGGATGTTGGGCTGGGGACACAGGGGCGAGAAGCTTAAACGTACACATTGTTGTTAGTGGCCGTCTTGTTGGCCCTAACTCATG